TTAGAATATATATTCTATATCTGTATTTTTCGAACGGAGTTATAAAGCAAGAAAGCGCAGCGGGTTGTGCCCTGTCTCGAGGTCAAGAGGTTGTGGAAACTGCTCGCAAACTCTTCATACAGGCTCATGGCAATTGATAAATTAACGAATTTAGAAGCTTTCTTGCCACATGACATTGAAAAACAAAAAGCAGGCTCCCGAAAAACCGTTCCCACCACCTCTTGCCTGCGAGACCGGGCACTACCGCTGCGCTTTCTTGCTTTATAACTCCGTTCAAAGAATCGTTTAGCAGATAAGGAAGGCAGTTTTGAGCTCAGCGTCTCGAGGCGAGTGCAACGGTATACAGCTCATTGCTAAATGGCCGGACCGACCTAACCTTCCCTCGTTAGTGGCTCGGGAGGAAAAGTTATCCCCAGCACTTGGCAGGAAACTTAGATTCACAGGTCTACCAGGTCTTCACATCGGACCACGATGACCATTATCAAAGATTCTCTATTGAGCCAATTTAGCGAGATTATATGAAGCTCGAGAAACCAAGTATTGAGTCAAGTATTTTAGGTGGCTCCGCACCGAGATGCCGTCGCACTTATTCGTAAAATGGACAAGGAACAGAACTATAATAGGGTGTTACAATTCTTAGAGAAGTTCACATAGAGTCTATGTAGTGCAAAATTCGTAATAACTGTAATAAAACTTTACCACTTCCATGTCCATGTCCATAGGGTAGTATAAAACGGAGGTCGCAACCTGGTTCGAAAGTTACCCCTCCTATAATTATATTCGAAGACTCTTAGAAGGAATGTCGGCAAGAAATCATGATTCTGTGTCCCCATAAATCGTTAGCTTAAGCGTCATAAGACCAAAGAAAATTGATCCAAGTATTAGCTCTGGTTTCAGCCAACAGTCGTGAAAACTACGGGGAGTATTATTCCTTCCGATTCCCGCTTCACATCTATCATAAATGTTGGCGACGCAAACGTTTCCACTTCGTTCCTTTGATGCCATCATTAGAAGACCCTTTAGCTTTTTCGCCTGTGGCACGAAGTAAGCAAACCAGCCCTTTTGGCGTTTCTGCTGGGGCCGTATGCTGAATGTTGGGGAGGGGATGGGGTCCCCGACGGTCGACGGACTACTTCAACTCGGTCCTTAAACCGCCTCAATTTGATGCTTACCTCAGGACTAAGCCTTAAAGAGAAGACGGACCTGCGAGAAAGGACTGCACATAGGAGAGAGGATGGAGGCTCTTCAAGGCTTAGCCCTGGGGTAAGCATCGAATTGAGGCCATTTTGAGCACCGAGTTGAAGTAGTCCGTCGACCGTCGGGAACCCCATCCCCTCCCCAACATTCAGTATAAGGCCCCAGAAGAAGTCTTATTTCGTTATTCTAACGATAGTTTTGTCTCTACTCTCCGAGTTCGAGTGTTAAGTCAATGGCGTCGCCCAGTACCACGGCAACACCACAAATTACATTTTTCATATGCCCCTTTGGCTCCGCTTATGGGCGCATCTCTGTCATAAGGGGTTTTCAGAGGTGCTTCTTTTCGGGAACTGGATTCCCATGCATGGGCGTTATACACACACTCTCTCTCTCTCGATCACAAACGCTTCTGAGCAGAAGAGCAAACATTTCCTGGAAGATTCATTAGAGAGTATGATCTCAAACGAACGGTGAGATTCGGTGAAATTCCTTGTTGTGGAATAAGTAGTGTGGTGCGTTTTATTTGCTGGAATTGTCGTATTGTATCCAAAGAAGGATTCCACGATGAAGTTGTAACCGATTGGAAATTAAGCTAGAGGATGCGACAATGACATATGAAAAGAAGGAAAAAATTAGCTAGACCCAGGATAGGGACCCTTCCTTGCCTTTCATTTCATCATTGGATGCCTCCCATCGATGTTGCCCTCTTCACCTAACTCTCTCTCTCTGCTAAACGGACAGATGGTCAGGTAGAGGAGGCCTGCCGCGCCGATGGCGCCGCGGGAAGGCTGATACATTTGCGCGGAGATATACATATCTTTCAATGGCGACTGACGTTTCCGGTCATTCAGCCTGGAGGTCAAACCTGTCTCAGAATAACAAGGAAAGGATGGTAGGTCGAAGTGGCCGTATAAAATGAGATATACCACCTGATGCGTCTTAGACGCTGATTCCAAATCTGCCTTCCAAATCTGCTAAACGGCTCTCCGAACGGAGTTATGAAGCGTAATAGCTCAGTGGTGATGGTCCGGGGTGGCAGGTAAAAGCTCGTAGGATCGGTTCCTTTGCAAGTTTGTTGCTTTGCTTTTGTCCGCAACACTTCTAGAGACAAAAGCAAAGCAACCAATTTGCAAAGGAACCGATCCTACGAGCTTTTACCTGCCACCCCGGACCATCACCACTGAGCTATTACGCTTCATAACTCCGTTCGGAGAGTCGTTTAGCGATTTGGAAGGCAAGATTTGGAAACAGCGTCTGGGAACGCATCAGGAGGTATACATTTCATTTCGAACGGCCACTTCGAACGCTACATCCTTCCTTTAAGGGTAAGGATCAGCTCTTCGACTTGTCTTATGGATATGATTTTATTTTTTTGAGAGCTCAGTGCCATGCCTATAAGTTTGGCGTGTAGTCTTAGTTGTTAGAATAATGGCGTATTATAATTCACCGTTTATACGATTTGTCGCCTGTGTGGTAAAGCCGTCCGGTCCAAATGGTATCGTTTCCAAGCGCTATAGTACATTTCACATTTCATCATTGACCCGAAACATGTATATGCCCATGCATTCGGTCAATGTCCCACAGTCCCTGCAAATAACTTATCATCAGTAATAGCAGGCAGCCCAGAATCATGCGTTGGGATCCCGTGTCTGATGTTATTCTGCATTTGTCCATGATGCTCACCTTCTTCAGGCCGACCCGGTCTTTTCGATGACAAGATCCGTAGAGTTGAACCTCGGTTTGTCAAAAGGATGTGCAACAAAAAAATGTTCTTTCTCACCTGTTCTGAGAAAATTGAAAAGTTGTGTAGGAAGTGATTCTATGACCGTAAATGAACCCAGCAGGGGTTTCACTGGAAGGTGCGATTTTATTGGTGCTCAGTGAGAAAGTAAGAGCACCGCATCGACGATATTGGACTTATGCTGGGAGACTAATGATGTCATGTGAGATGAGACTTGAGTATAGGGTCAAGGTTTACTATCAGTCAAGTCAATTCTCACCCCAGTGCATTTAATTGATTGTTGCAGGCGGACTGTCACTCGTTACGATCGCTCAATACCTTGCAAAATGTAAAATCAATGCCGAGATTTTTTGCAGAGACGGTTTTTTCTGAGCTTTCCAAAATTTGAAGAATTGCTATCGAATTTGCCGTCCACATGTATGAAGAGGGGTAAAACCAGAAAAGTTCAGAAACCTGTACCGCTTCAGATGGTCCTTGATAGGGGTGATAAAAGTATTGAAATAGAGAACGAAAAGGCTACCCAAAACTGTAATGATGAAACAAATGGATGTTCAAGTTCCAGTTTTGTAATGAACGTTCATTTTCAAGGAGGATTCCACGACAAGCACAAAGTTCGTGAGGAGGGGAAACTCATCCAAAGGAAAACAGGCGGATCTCCTACGGGTGCGGACCGACATGCAATTCGCAAGGATATACCCCCGGCTATCTAGTATGGCCCTCGCCGCGACGCTATCGGCGCGCGATCACCCCTCGCTGCCTGATATTCTCCCCATTTGGCAGTTAGAAAGCGTTGAACAGGGCAGCAGGGTGAATAACGGTCGAGGAATTCCTCGACCATCGCTCTCTGCTGTGCGAGAGTAGTGAATGAATGTACGCGCGGAGAGCACAGACGGCTCGCGGGTGGCGAGAGTGAATATCCGCGCGCGAGAACGTAAAGGATCAGGCGAAAATCCTCGACGTGCCGTTGAGGAATCCTCAAGCAATATTCACCCTGCAGGGCAGCATCGTTGAGAGACACGGCGGGAAAGGAAGGGGTCTATTTCTCGGGTTCTAGGCCGTTTTTCATGGTTTTTTCTTCGTCTCTGCACTACTGACCACCTCCACTTTTTTCCTAACAAGCTGTCTTTTCGCCGTAAAATCTCCTTTTAAACGTATACATTTTTATAAGGAAGCCAAACAAAGAAGTAAACTTCAATGGCGATGGAATCGGCACCAACGACAACAGAGGCTCAACCATTCAGAGCTGCAACAAAAGCAATACATTTGTGTTGAGCAATTCATTGAAATCGTTGCGCCAAAAGCAAATATTATCATTTCACTAACTGTTTTTAAAAGCCCTCCACAAAAGTTTGAGGCATGGCTTGTTCTCCATTCGGGAAAACAGAATTGGAAACGCTAAGTTTTCCTCCTAGGTCAGGCCACGAGAGCTGTGCAATCATTGAAACCGAATTTTATGCTTGGCTTAATCCCTGGCATGGTCTATGCTCACACACTGGCTTATACTTAGGCTTATGACTGGGCCGGCTTAATCCTAGGTTCGCTTCCAGCAAATGAGTAATGTCTTAATTCCAAGTGATCTGATCTGAGAAGGTGAACCGAAACGCAAGCGAAGTTCCTAAGTACAGTTTCGAGCGTTTCATTTCTAACGTATACAAGGAATAAATCATCGAGTAAGTAACAGTAGCGCGGATTGACCAAATCAGGTTTGCTCTCTAATATTTGGATTGAACGACTAATACGTTTCTGATAAATAAAGAATTTGAACAAATAATGTGATCTATCAATATCATAGGATTCCTGAGCTTCATTGTGTAATATGTTCTTCAATTGCTTTTTGAAATGAAACTCTTCCAAATCTTTTATGCGACGACGTTTCGGGCCTTAAGCCCTTCCTCAGGTCTACAAATACAAAGGTGCTAACTTAACATCAACAATCGTCGCATAAAAGATTTGGAAGAGTTTCATTTCGTAAAGCAATTGAAGAAAATGATGTTTTTTTTTGCTTTCTCAAGAGGGAAATATTCATGAAATGCTCGTGCGTCAACAGCGGGGAAACTCGCACGGGAAAGATGTTTTCTACGCAAGAGCGAC